TGCGCAATTCAGCATGCCAGCGATTTAGTACTGAGAACCAAACTATTTAGTTCGTAAACATGAAAGCTTTAAATATATTTTTTGGTAGAGCCATAACTAATAACTTCCCGATTGATTGCCACTTTCTATTCTGTTGTGACAAACGTATTTTAGTAACGCCAACTAAAAATGCTCAACTAAATTATTTTCTTATTATTACAAAATTATTTTTCTCAGTGTAATTTAAGTAATAATTTAAATTTAAAAAGATTTGCTCCATTAAGTCCGGCTTTTTTTCTAATCTCAAAAGACATGTTACATTTTATGTAGCACACAAATATTTTAAAAATTGGTTGAATTCACTTAAAACGCGTTCTTGTGGATTTTTGGGTCCCTGATTACGAATATGAAGTCAAATTTTCAAAATTCAAAATGGCGGATTTAATATGGCAAACGAATTTTAAATTTTTTTTAATTTTCACGTAACTTGGTAATACGGGTTTTCGGGGTCGCTGATTACAAATCTGAAGTCAGTTTTTAAAAATTAAAAAAAAATTCCGCCATATTGGGTCCATCATTTTGAATTTCCAAAATCTGACTTCAAATTTGTAATCAGCGATCCCAAAAACTCTTAAGGAACAATTTTTAGTGTATATCCAACAAATTTCTAAAAAATTACATGTTTTTTGAAGTTAGAAAAAATCCTAACCTAAAATGGAGGAAATCAGCACGAAAACTTGGAACAAACTTGCAAGATTGCAGTGCAAACATGTAGCAAGTTTGATAGAAGCAACAAAATGTCTTCTTACGTCAAGTTTGCAAAACTTATAATACGGTGCGCAGTTGTAAACAGAAGCTCCTACGGCTGCGCAATAAATTTTTTAACCTCCAAAGCAGGGTGTCTTTTATGTTTATTTAGTAACAAATTGTTTCAAAAAATTTTTTTTTTAGTATTACACAAGCTTGCAGCAAGCTTTTTGCAAGTTTGCTGTAAGTCTGCTTAACTACCTTGACGCAAGAGGACATTTTGTGGCTTGCTTACCCCAAACTTGCTACATGTTTGCACTGCAATCTTGTACGACAAACTTCCTGTGAGTTTGCTGCAAGTTTCCGTACTGATTGGGTAGGGTACTTATTGAATGGATTGACAAACAATTTTTGCTAGCTCTAACTTTAGAATATGAAAAAGAATTAGAAATTCTTTTTTAAAATGATATTATATATTTAACGCAGAAAAATCGTGAAATAAAATGGTGAGTTTTTTTTGGGGGTATAATCTAATCCTGGATGAAATGAATAGAAAATGGTAATGGCGTGAGAGATAAATAAAGAGGCGCAGTGGAAGAGAAGGAGCAATCGGATATGGTGGAAGTGGAAGACTGCTGCCTGGCATGAGTTAGCATGACATGGCGTAGACATATCTCTCGGATTACGTCCTAACAAGCTCTACGACGTTCATTTGTCTTATCCGCTGTCGCTAATACGACGGCAACTGCTAAAATGATTAATTCACCGTGAGGATGCTCCATCCGAATGAACACTCTCTACCACATCCGCTTTTGAAACGCTTCTGCTGCTTGTGATTAAATACACGTCGCCGTGCAAACATAATTAAAGACTTGTCATATCTTAAAAGCAAAATCTCAGTTACCTTATTATATGTAATACATGCAATAATCTTATTTTTTCATAGTATCTATATCATCTTTTTAGCTATAGACATATTAGACATCAATGAAAGTCTAAATAAATGTAACAAATGTTTTATTTTTGGAAACGACTGCCATTTTTTAAAGAAATAAATATAAAATACCTCAATATTTGTATAGTTTCAGAAATCAAAATATTAAGAATTAAATAAATCATTATCTTCTATTATATTAAGTTAACAAATTTCCAAAAGAGACACCGACACCGTGACCTCGACACCGTCCTTGAAAAATCTATTTTCACTTATTTTCAAATAAATCAAAATACTTTGCCATACGCTTTTAGAAAATCTTACATACTTTTTTTTGTAGCATGTTTTTTCAATTTTTACCCGAAAAAGGGTTATTTTGCATTTTCATCCCAAAAAAGGGTTATTTTGCAATTTTATACGAATTTTTGGAAATACACCTTTAAAATTACTCTATTTTTAAAAAGCTACTTATAAACAATTTTTTACCAATTTTCTATGGTTTTTTTTTATTTATTGTTGTTTTTTAAATTTTTAGTTAGGAACCTATAATATTATTGTGCCTAATTTTAAGTGTCATTGCAATCAATTGTTTTTAACTTAATAATTTTAACATTTCTTATTTTAAAACGAAACATCTTCTATTATATTAAGTTAACAAATTTCCAAAAGCGAAACCGACACCGTGAACTCGACACCGTCCTTGGAAAATCTATTTTCACTTATTTTCAAATAAATCAAAATACTTTGCCATACGCTTTTAGAAAATCTTACATACTTTTTTTTGTAGCATGTTTTTTCAATTTTTACCCGAAAAAGGGTTATTTTGCATTTTCATCCCAAAAAAGGGTTATTTTGCAATTTTATACGAATTTTTGGAAATACACCTTTAAAATTACTCTATTTTTAAAAAGCTACTTATAAACAATTTTTTACCAATTTTCTATGGTTTTTTTTTATTTATTGTTGTTTTTTAAATTTTTAGTTAGGAACCTATAATATTATTGTGCCTAATTTTAAGTGTCATTGCAATCAATTGTTTTTAACTTAATAATTTTAACATTTCTTATTTTAAAACGAAACATCTTCTATTATATTAAGTTAACAAATTTCCAAAAGCGAAACCGACACCGTGAACTCGACACCGTCCTTGGAAAATCTATTTTCACTTATTTTCAAATAAATCAAAATACTTTGCCATACGCTTTTAGAAAATCTTACATACTTTTTTTTGTAGCATGTTTTTTCAATTTTTACCCGAAAAAGGGTTATTTTGCATTTTCATCCCAAAAAAGGGTTATTTTGCAATTTTATACGAATTTTTGGAAATACACCTTTAAAATTACTCTATTTTTAAAAAGCTACTTATAAACAATTTTTTACCAATTTTCTATGGTTTTTTTTTATTTATTGTTGTTTTTTAAATTTTTAGTTAGGAACCTATAATATTATTGTGCCTAATTTTAAGTGTCATTGCAATCAATTGTTTTTAACTTAATAATTTTAACATTTCTTATTTTAAAACGAAACATCTTCTATTATATTAAGTTAACAAATTTCCAAAAGCGAAACCGACACCGTGAACTCGACACCGTCCTTGGAAAATCTATTTTCACTTATTTTCAAATAAATCAAAATACTTTGCCATACGCTTTTAGAAAATCTTACATACTTTTTTTTGTAGCATGTTTTTTCAATTTTTACCCGAAAAAGGGTTATTTTGCATTTTCATCCCAAAAAAGGGTTATTTTGCAATTTTATACGAATTTTTGGAAATACACCTTTAAAATTACTCTATTTTTAAAAAGCTACTTATAAACAATTTTTTACCAATTTTCTATGGTTTTTTTTTATTTATTGTTGTTTTTTAAATTTTTAGTTAGGAACCTATAATATTATTGTGCCTAATTTTAAGTGTCATTGCAATCAATTGTTTTTAACTTAATAATTTTAACATTTCTTATTTTAAAACGAAACATCTTCTATTATATTAAGTTAACAAATTTCCAAAAGCGAAACCGACACCGTGAACTCGACACCGTCCTTGGAAAATCTATTTTCACTTATTTTCAAATAAATCAAAATACTTTGCCATACGCTTTTAGAAAATCTTACATACTTTTTTTTGTAGCATGTTTTTTCAATTTTTACCCGAAAAAGGGTTATTTTGCATTTTCATCCCAAAAAAGGGTTATTTTGCAATTTTATACGAATTTTTGGAAATACACCTTTAAAATTACTCTATTTTTAAAAAGCTACTTATAAACAATTTTTTACCAATTTTCTATGGTTTTTTTTTATTTATTGTTGTTTTTTAAATTTTTAGTTAGGAACCTATAATATTATTGTGCCTAATTTTAAGTGTCATTGCAATCAATTGTTTTTAACTTAATAATTTTAACATTTCTTATTTTAAAACGAAACATCTTCTATTATATTAAGTTAACAAATTTCCAAAAGCGAAACCGACACCGTGAACTCGACACCGTCCTTGGAAAATCTATTTTCACTTATTTTCAAATAAATCAAAATACTTTGCCATACGCTTTTAGAAAATCTTACATACTTTTTTTTGTAGCATGTTTTTTCAATTTTAACCTTAAAAAGGGTTATTTTGCAATTTTATGCAATTTTTTAGATATATACCTATTTAAAATCTCTTCATAAAGGTTTACTCTGGATAATAAAAATAAATACCGATATTTTAAAAGGTTTTTCGATTTATTATGAACATTTTTCTCAAAAATTTGCAAAATCTCCATGTGTTTGTGGGGAAATTTACAGCAATATAATATAAGATAAAAAAAATATATTATAATATAATATAATTAATATTGTTGTTATAATTATAATTAATTAAAACATTTAATATTTAACAATTGTCATTTCATCCTTCAATGATACTGATCAAAATTAAGATAAATTTTATACAATATTAATAATATATTAATTTAAAACATAAATTATATATATAATATACATAAACTACAATAAGTAAACAACAATAAGTACAACTATAACCGAGCGAGCGTTATTTAAAAAATTTTGTTTTTCAAAAAAACTCAAAATATGTAAAAAAAAATTTTTTTTTTTTAATTCGAAATATTTTTTTTCTAATTCTATACATAAAAATAGGCATTTTTTATCTTGAAAATTTTTTTCTAAAGCTAACCGTTCTCGACTTATTACTAATTACAAAAAGTGCTGATTTTCAAAAAAATCAAAATATGTCAAAAAAAAAAAAAATTTTTTTTTTATGTCTAAATATTTTTTTTCTAATTCTATACATAAAAAGGCACATTTTTCTTCTTAACAATTTTTTTCAAAAATCAATCGTTCTTGAGTTATGACTAGTTGAAAAAAAGTGCAGTTTTTTTAAACAATTATCCATATCTTTGTTACAAATTATCGTATTAAAGTTTACAAGGAATCATTTTAAAGGTGATAAAATTAGCTTTCAAATGGCTTATCAACGATTAAAATGTGATGACTGGTTTAAAAACTGCAGCGATTTTAAAATTACAAAAAAAACCGGAAATTTTGGATTTTTATTTTGAGCAATTAAACAATAAAAAAAATTTTTTTTTAATGTCTGTTTTAGATATCATAAAAGTAGAAGATATAAGCTTTCAAAAAAGTCCTCACTCATTATTATATCTTTATTAGCAACCGAAATATAAAACTTTTCGCCAAGCGTAAAATTCTCAAAGGTGGGCAAAATCTGCTGAGCGGCACTGTACATACATTTTTGCATCGATATAAAAAATTCCACATTCATTCATCAGTATTTCTCTCTAAATTTTTTCCTATTTGACGATCCTTCACAAAACGCATCATCAATGATATTTGACTCATTTTATTTCAATGATATTAATACTGATTTAAATGCAAAAATTTTACAAAGTTCACTAGATTCACAATTATATTGTTCTTTTTATACTCCCCACACAGCAGATTATATTTCCTAAACATTTCATGAATAGTTCATTGAAAGATTTGATGTTGATGAAAACAGGAAAATTTCCGCCTATAAGAAATATTGCCGTACAATTTTGCTGAAATATTACACTTTAAGACTCCTGCAATATTACACATGAAGACTTTGCAATATTCAGGAAATATTTCAAAGAAAGTTAGAAACTTTTTTAAAATATGAAATCAATCATTATTTTCTAACATGTTTTACACCTTAGAATCCTATAGAAAATTAAAAACTAGTGCGCAGCTGTACAGGCCATAGAAACTGAGATCTACCAGTGCGCATCATTTAAGTTGGAATTTTTCTATAATATTTTAATGAAATATTTCAGCAAAATTACACGGCAATATTTCTTATAGGCGGACATTTCCCTAATTTCAGAAATATTTCAAGGACTTCGCATTGGAATATTTCAAAATTTCAATGAAATATTTTAGAAATATATCATTTGTGCTGTGTGGGTCAATTTTTGTCATATTAATATTTTGGGTAAAAATATATATTACCTGTGAATAATTATACTAGAATTTTTTTATTTTATCAATTATAGTATTTTTCATTTACAAATAACACAGCCCCACAAAAAAAAAGTGTCATGTACTTTTGACCGGAATACCCTATCCCTATGTATTTTGACGCGCTGAACACGAATCCGAAGTCCGTTTTGCTCCATCACGTCAAGATTTTTTTCTAACCTCAAAAAACATGTCGGATTTTGAGAGATAGGCGATTTTAAAAAAAATTAATTTATTTACTTCAAACTTGGTATCTAGGGGTTTTTTGGGTCGCTGATTACGAATCTGACGTCAGATTTTAAAAAAAAACAAAAAAATACGTGTCAAATTGTTTTCAAAGAACTACAAAACTGACAAGTTTCAGAAAAAACGGCGTACGGCACTTCCCTAGTGTTACTTGTCAGCAACATAGAAAACCTGTAGATACCAAATTTCATAAAAATCTGACAATTTTTTAAAAATACTTTCTTAATATTTAATCAGACATATCGAATTTCGGAAATCTGACATCAGATTCGTAATCAGCGACCCAAAAAACCCCTAGATACCAAGTTTGAAGTAAATCTTAAAATTTTTAAAAATTTGTCCACCATATTGGATCCGCCATTTTGGATTTTGAAAATCTAACTTCAGATTCGTAATCAGCAACACAAAAAACCTCCAGATACCAAGTTTGAAGTTAATACATCAATTTTTTAAAAAATTGCCTACTTCTCAAAATCCGACATGTTTTTTGAGGTTAGAAAAAAATACAAAAAAAGTACATGACACTTTTTTTTGTGGGGCTGTGTAATGATCTAAAAATTTGTTTAAATAAAAACATTGAGAAAAAATATAAGAAACACTGCCGGGTAAGAGGGCGCTGTGAAATTTTTGTACGAAAGACTGAAAGGACTAAGGCTTTAAATCTGAAAAGAAAATATAGATGTGTGAGTAAAAAGAGGTAGAAATAAAGAATTTGTTTTGAAGAATATTACACATACTACGTATTAATTGAGATTCAGTGGTAGTTTTATAATTTCCAACTTTTAATTTACATTCAGGAAGGAATCTGTTCATCCATATTCCATCAATGCAGGTGGCTAATCTTGTTCTTATTAATTGGTAATTTTCATTGCAATTATATGTCAAACGTACTTCACCGTATTTTCCTACTGTTGTCTTTTGTACATATCCATTTTCAAGAGTGTAATACAAAGAATTATTTAAGCAATTAGGATCTGAAAACATAATTAGTTCAGTACCAATTTAAGGATTGATTTATATAATATTTGAAAGCTAATTAACGCAATAACAAATTTTTGTAAAACTACATTATAAATCTTATTTTTATATATACCTATTTCTGTTGTGTAGTTATTCCTAAATTTACATACAGGAGAAGGATTTGACCATTTGCCATCAGTACATGTTGAAATCACATTTCCTATCATTTTGTAATTGTCATTGCACTGATATTCTATGACACGTTCATGGTCCGATAGAGAATAAATAAATTTGAATTTTCCATTTTCAATCTTTATATGTTTAGTAGAATTTAAGCATTCTTTATCTGAAAATATTATACAATTATATCGAAAATAAGATAACAAAATTTTCTTTTTCGATAGACAACTCTCTATTCGATAGATACACTGAAAAAAAATTTATTTGGATCAAATAAAAAGTATTTCATCCAAATACATCATTTACTTGTCTATTATCCAATAAATATGTATTTGAACCAAATACAAATTTACTAAACCTAAGTATTTTATTTTATCGTATCAAATAAATAGTTATTTGAATCAAATACAAAGTATTTAAATCAAATAAATGGAATATTCAAAGCAAATAAATAATTATTTAAATCAATTATGAAAATTATACCATTCAAATAAATGTTTACTAGACATAAGTATTTTATTTTATCGTCTCAAATAAATAGTTATTTGAATCAAATACAAAATATTCAAATCAAATAAATGGAATATTCAAAGCTAATAAATAATTATTTGAATCAATTATGAAAATTATTTCATTCAATACTGCATGTTTTTTGATTCAAATAAATATTTATTTGCATTAATAAAATATTTTTCTTGAAACAACTAAAAATTTTCTTGAATCAAATATTCGGTTGTCATAAGTAATTGTTTTAATTGAAACAAAAACCTCTTTAATTGCGGCAAAAGACCTAACTCAGAAAAGTGCTTAACATCATTTAGTTAAAATTAAGATATTAAATTATATTTTTCAATTAAATGCAATTTATAAAATATAATTAATTATATGCTTCATGATTATTATCATGAATCATCCCAGGTGAATTTTCAAAAAAAGTGTAAATATATTTTTATTAAAAACGTGTTTTTCGTTGTTCTGAATCATTGTAAACATTAATTTTTTGTTAATGAAAAAATATTTGACTTTTGGACTTATAATATTAAATAATATATATATATGTATATATTACTATATATATATACTATTGATACTATTCATTTATATATATATATAAATGAATAGTATCAAATAACTCATTATTCTTATTACACTTAAATATTTAATTGATCAAAATATTTTATTTTCCTTTAATAAAATAGTGTGTTAACATTGAATAAAGCATTATTTATATTAAATAATTTAATTAATTAGAATTAATAAATTTATTGCATCAAATACTTTTTATTTGTTTCAATGAAATGAAATATTTGAGTGAAATAAATAAATTAATTGTTTCAAGTAAATCATTATTATCGTATCAAATAAATATTTAATTGATTGAAATATTTTTTTATTTGTCTTGATAAAATAGTGTATTAGGATTAAATAACGAATTATTTGTATTAAATAATTCAGTTTATTTGAATTAATTACATAAATTTATTGTGTCAAATACTTTTTATTTGTATCAAATAAACGAAATATTTGAGTGAAATAAATGAATGAATAGTTTCAAGTAATTCATTATTTGTATTAAATTAATTCATTTATTCAATTCAATTAATTATTTAATTGAACCAAATACGATTTATTTGGTTCAAATAAATGCGATTCAAATAATTCAAGTTATTTGAATCAAATACATATTTTTTTGATCCAAATAAAAAGTATTTGAACCAATTAAATATTTTTCAAATAATTTGAAGTATTTGAATCAAATAAATTTTTTTTTCAGTGTATACTCTACTTAATTCAAAAATAATTAATTATTAGTTAAATTAAATGTTAAAATAACTAAAATTTCTGGAAACTAATTCAATTAGTAAAATTTGACTATAATTTAGATTTAAAAAGTGCATCAAAATTTTAACATTCACTGAGAAATACTATAAAAGACATGAAAATTTCAAATTGAAAAGGAAATTCTCTTTTCAAAGATCATTTATTATATATGTGACGCGATCTGAAGAAAAGGACCTTAGAAGCAAAAAATTATAGGTTACGTTTAGAAATTTTAATGTGAAAATACACAAAGACGTTCAACTCGTAATGCAAACTAATGATATTTAGGTCTTCATTGCATCCAAAATATTCAATAAAAACTGATTTCAGTTTTACAAAAACAAAAATAAACTTTTAGTTCAAGTAAAACTATTGTAAACATAACCAATAATTACTTTGCTTCTAAGGTCCCTTTCTTCAGATCGCGTCACATATATATATATATATATATATATTATTTATGTATTTTGATGCGCTGATTACGAAAATCATAGTGACAATACCCGAAAATTAGATCTTTATGGTGAAAACCATAAAAAATCCTAAAATTTATGGTTTTTTTCGTTTATTGGAAAAAAATTTGCAAAATTTTTAAAAAGTGCATAAGATATAAAAAATGTATTTTAATAAGATTTAATTAACTTTTGTCTAAAATTTTTTTTTAATTTTGCATATTTTACCCAATAAACAAAAAAAAACAATGAATTTTAAGGCTTTTTATGGTTTTCACCATAAAATCAAATTTTCGGGTATTGTCACTATGATTTTTGTAATCAGCCCATCAGAATATATAAAAGTATGTAGTATAAAAAAACCAAACATTTTTTTAAAAAATTCAAAATTTAAAAATTATTTTAAATCCCGAAAATATTGTAAAATTTGTTTGCCCACGATAGGACTATGCTTAAAATTTTCGTAAAAGTAAGTAGTTATTTTGAATAAATTTTGAAAAAAATTGATCAGTACCTCAATTGAGAAAAATGACTTTTTATCTTTAAAACTTAAAAATTTGATAGTACCTAATATCATTTGAAAAAAATTTTCGATTTTTTTTTTGAAAAATACGTTTAAAAACACACATATTAAAAAAAAACTTTAAAATTGATGCATTTTTAAGGAAGTTATGAGCACTCAAAAATTAAAAGTCATGAAAATTCTCCAACTTTCAAAATTCCATAACTCGAAAACGGCTTGCTAAAAAAATTTGAAAAAATTCATGGAAACTATTCTCAATTAGTACTAAAAGAAAAAAAAATTTCAAAAAAATCGGAGATGCAATTGCAGATGGACTTCGAATTTGGCGTGGAATACATCATATATATATTGAAAAGAAATATTATTCATTAACCTGACTCGTGTGGTGCGAAAGTGTTACACCAAGTATGTGATTGGGTATGACATACCCAAGCGTGAAACTGCCTCTAAATGTTTTTAAATTTCTACATTTAATAATAAAATTAATGAAAGACTTACGAACACATTTGTCTTGAACGGTCCGTTGCCATTTTCTATTAACACAGATCAAATCTTCATTTCCTTCGAGAAAATAATTTTCATTACATTTTATTGTCGCCAAATTGTTTGCATCATTTATTGTAACTTGTGCATTTCTATAGTGTAATGGTCTACATTTTAAATCTAAAACAAAATTAAGTACATATAAAAAACAGTAGTTTAAAAAAAATTATCAAGCTCATACATACCAAAAGAGTCAACAAAAAATTGTTGATTTGAAATAAAAAATACGATATTCATTAAATTAATGATACCCAAAAACATTTCTTCTTTTTATTTCGATATCTCAAAATATATGTAAACAGTATGAATCTACTTTTCTGTTATGTTCTTTTAAACTTATAGTGTATTAAAAAAGAGATACATTTTTTATGAATTCACTCGATATGTATATATATATATATATATGTTTTTTTTTAAATATTTTACAATATCATATACCAAATATTGATAATGCATATATATGTATGATAATATATGTTATACGTCATTTATTGATTTTATTTTATTAACTAAATTCTTATCTTATATTTTATTGGCCAATAGTCGTAATAAACCAAACGATTCACCTGAGTAATTATTTCTTTCATGGTGTTTACTCGTGATTTTTAATAAAATGTATAAATTTAAAAAAAATATAATAAAATTTATGAAAGATTAGTTTCCAAGTTGTTTCTGAAATTTTTTTTAAATTATTGTTTCAAATAAATTATCATAATGAAATTTTTAAAAAATAATTTTTTTAGTTGATATAGTTCTTTTTTTTAAATCAATAGATAATTTTCAAAAATTTTTAACAATAAGAAAACAATTTGTTATTTTGTCAAACGAGAGGGAATTTACTAGTTAAAAATGTGTACAGTGGACTACCGGTATTACCTAGTATTACACGTTATATTACTAAGTATTATTATATTTCGTGATGAAAAATTCAATGAAAATAATATAGTATTTTAATTTGATTGATGAAAGTTTGAAGCACACAAATATATGCACAAAACTCACAGACAAATTCCAGATAGCATGTAAGCTTGCAGCAATCTTGCGGTAAGCTTGCCGCGCAATATTGCCAACCTTGCACGGCAAACTTTCCGCAAGCTTTAAATGTCCCACCTGAACCAAGCTTGCATGGTAAGCTTACCGAAAGATTCTAGTGTAAAATTACTGCACGATTGAAGTCTAAGGATACTGCACTATACAATCTTTCGGTAAGCTTACCATGCAAGCTTGGGTCAGGTGGGACATTTGAAGCTTGCCGTAAGGTTGCTGCAAACTTACGTGCTATCTGAGATAATATACTTTCAAGAGAGGAATTTAAATTTGAACATTTTTTGTAAATGTAAAATTTATTTTTTGCAAAAGGTTTATAATAAAAGTTTAATGTCAATCACTGCAATCGTAACGTCTAAACAAGACATTTAAAAATCCTTTCAAAAACATATGTTTCATGTCTCTGTTTTGCGCATCATCGCTTCAAAAATGCACTACAATATTAGAAAACACTTTTTTCTTCACCATAAAATACAAATTCCTTCATCTCAGTTTCAGGGGAGCAGGCCACATTCAGTAGTATCGCGACATATCAATATGTCAGACATCGCAGTCAGACAGATAAATTTATTGTACACATTTACGGAAAGTACCTTCGTGCGTCGTGTCAATGCGACCAACATCTACACGGAAAACATTAATTCAGTATATTTTACAAAATTATGACGGAGTAGCGGATACAGCTCTTTACGAAACTGAGTTTTGTAAAATGTCACGAAATATATTCAGTTATAAACAACGAAATTTCTGTATTTTATCCGAAAATATCCATCACTCAGTTTCGTAAACCCACATAGCACGACTTCTTGCTGTGAGGTTACTGTAAGAATATCTGTAGGGTTTGTAAGGTTACCGTGTAAGCCTGCAGTAAACTTGAGGTCATCTTAAAACTTCCGCCTTACAGTAAGCTTACATGGTAAGGTTGTTGTAAGCTTTCCGTAAGGTTACTGTAAGGTTGCTGTAAGGTTACTGTTAATATAAAGTAATATGAAAATATATATAAAAATAATTATATTATAATATATATTATATTATAAGTTTTTTTTGTATAAAAAATGATATATTTGGTAAAGTACTTTATGAACCCCAATGGGGTTTGTCAAATAAAAGTTACTGCGCAGCCGTATATGCCATAGAAAACTACTGCGCATAAATATTAATAAATTTTATTTATTAACAACATTCTATGTTTACAGTAACCTTACATCAACCTTACAGTAACCTTAAAGGAAGCTTACAACTATCTTACCGTGTAAGCTTACCACAACTTTACCATGTAAACTTACCACGACCTTACTGTGTAAGCTTACCTTAGCTTTACTGTGTAAGCTTACTGTAAGGCGGAAGTTTTAACATGACCTCAAGTTTACTGCAGGCTTACACGGTAACCTTACAAACTCTACAGATATCGTTACAATAACCTCCCAGCAAGAAGTCGTGCTATGTGGGAAGAGCTGTATCCGCTACTCCGTGATAGTTCTGTAAAATCTACTGAATTAATTTTTTCCGTATATTAAAAACGATAATAACTATAAGTAGAAATAATAAAATCGGACAAGTGCGAGTGTAACTCGCACTAATTTCAATTTTGTTTAATTTTTCTTGTAATGTGAGCATGAAAACACACAGATATAGACACATAGACCTTAATTTTGCTTGAAAATGCTATAATAATCAACTCCAATCGTGCTCACTATATTTTTTTTGTAATCTACACGCAAAAATACGTAAAAACCTAATGGGAAACTGCCACGAGTAACCGTTGGCGTATTAATTGGCCCAATGATGGGAGCCAATGAAAAAACCATTGGCACCCAATAATGGACCATTATTGGTAAAGTCATGGGCTCTCCACGCCGATTATTATTATTATTATTTTATTTTTAATAATTAAATTAAAATAAAAAAATGGTCATCAAAGTATTAGTGAAACCATTTCTTCCAAAAAAGAATTTGTCTCAAATCCAATAAATAGGAGAGACATCGCGCAGAAAAAAAAATTTCAAGCCCGATGTCTCTCCTATTTAATGAATTTGAGACAAACTCTGTTTTGGAAGAAATGGTTTTCCTTAAAAACAATTTGATCATCAACTTCAATCGTGATCGCTATATTTTTCCTGTAATCTACACGCAAAAATATGCATGTATACCAAATATGAACTGTCTTGGTCAAATAGTGTGTGCGCTAGGAGGATTAAACGCTTTTTTACAAATTTTTTGATTTTTCCTTGACAACGCTATGTAAACTGATCCGAATCATGTTCGCTATATTTTTCCTGTAATTTTCACGTAAAAATACATAAGTGTACCAAATTTGAGCTCTCTATGTGAAAAATGTGTCCACCAGGGGGGGGTACATAGTCATTTTTAGGGATTTTTCGTAAAAATTCTTGGTTTTTCCTTAACAACGCTATGATAATCGATTCTTACGAGATTTGCTATATTTTTCCTGTAATCTACTCGCCAAAATACATATGTGTACCAAATTTCAGCCCTCTAGATAAATTCGTGTGGCCGCTAGGGGGGGGGGGTACATGCCTTGCTTCACTAGTCTCATTAATAATAGGGTTCCTCCTTCGGATACGGAACCCTAAATATTGAATAAAATTATCAGGTATAAATTGTTTAATATACCTACAATATTTAGAAAATGATACAGATGGCAGAAAATTTTATTTCTTCATATTTTTCTCAATATTTTACTTTTTTGAAAAATAATCTCTAAAATTTTATTTTATTGATTTTCAATTTTTTAAACATGAAGAAATTGTTAAATAATTACATTTTAAACGCAACTTTTTTTTACCTTAAATTTGAATAATAAAATTCGTGATAATATTAATAAATATACCGATGGTTGATGTTTTTAATTTGAAAATTTAGCAACGAAAATAAAAGTTACTGTAATGAGTAATACTCGTAATCATATATATACCAGTTAATATCGATGCTCATGCAACACGTTTAAGAATTGTTAGAAGAATTCTTTTTAATTTTAAATGTCGCAAAGAAGAAAACAATTGAGTTTGAAAGAAAAATGTGATATGTGATATAATACCATCTGCAAATTCTTATTTTTTCTTCGATAACATGTTACAAACAGAAATATCTTTATTAGAAGTGACTGACCTCATACATTTAAATGACGAAGAGACTATAGAAACTGAAGAAGTCGATCAACGGGATGACTTAATGATTTCTACTATACCGATGTATTTCGTCATTTATCTGAATTGAAAATGTACTTCTTGAACACCAATGACACCACAGGACTGAATTTAATATCAAATGCAGAAATTCACTTAGAACGTAGAAGAAATTAGAAATTCCTAAAAAGCAAACTTCCATTTTGAATTTTTGAAAATAATTCAATTAAATTTAAAATTTGACTTTTTTTAATTCTTTTATAAAATTAAAAAGTAGGGGAATAGTGTCAGGGTTGGACACTTGGCTTTTTTTAAATAAGAATACTAGCGCCACCTGTGTACGTACGTGACGAATCTTCTAGTAGTGTAACCTAACTTTTTGTGGCATTACATTTTTGGAGAATCAAAATTAGCGTCTCCTGTGACTTCGGTGCAATCGAAGAGACAAAAAAAGTTTTGTTTGACTTGTGAATAAACCTAAAAAATGTGTAAAAAAAGCAAGAATTCGGCAAGGTAAGCTTATTGAATGTATTGTGGGGTACATAATTGAAGAAGAAAAAAAGTGAAAAATCGAATCGCGACACATGTCTGGTTATGGTTAGCACAATTCGAAAATGATGCTTCTAGTTAGGGTTGGACACCCATATTAATTATGAATTTGACACAATTTATAAATAAATATATAAATAAATTTTATTTTATTGATATTTCAGTGCAAAATTGTGCCAAAGATATTAGAAAAATAATACTTAAATTGTATAAATTTTGTTCATCATTTCATTGAGTTATTTGGAACAATAAAGCGTTATTTTTTGTAATTTGAGTTCATTCCTTTTTTAAACCCATGAAGCTTTACAATTTGTAAACAATAAGTAAAGATAAACATGAAAAATAAGAATAAAAAACTTTACAAATGTTATTTTACGTTTTTACCAATAATGCGTTTCGATTTTCAAAAAGTGTCCAACCCTGATGACTGGAAAGTCCAACCCTGATTAGATTTTTTTTTTAAATGTTTATAACTTTTTTAATTTTGGACCAATCAATTTACGGTCCACAGCAAAAGTGTTCCTCTTTTGTAGATCTTTCCACCCATATACCACAATTGACTGAATTTATCTAAATAATTATTGAAATTA